CTATTCTCCAAGGCACCTGAGGGTAGAACAAGAAGCAATGGGTGGAAACTAATCAAGGGGAGAAGCAACTTAGAACTGAGGAGGAATTTCCTGACACTTAAAACAATTAACCAGTGGAACAGAAGTTGCCTCCAGAAGTTGTGAATGCTCCAACACTGGAAGTCTTTAAGAAGAGGTTGGATAGCCATTTGTCTGAAACGGTATAGGGTTTCCTGCCTGGACTAGAAGACCTCCAAGGTCCCTTCCAACCCTGCTATTATATTCTATTCTAATCTGGAATAAATATTCTATTCTATTCTTATTCTATCAATCTAGATCATCAGAGAGCACCAAGGACATCACCCCCTTCTCCTCCTCTATTACCACCACTACCATCCCTAAAAACAACCCTCCCTTCCAGCACTGATGAGGTTACCCAGTTGGGTCATGAAACGTCTCCAAGCTGAGAGAGAGCCAAGGACTGCTGAGTGAGGAAGCCCAGCATCCAGAGAGCCTTCCTGACCGCCGGCTCTGCCCCCTTTCCGACCCCAGAGGACCCCTGCCCAGAGCCACAAAGCAGATGCCGATGAGCTAAGACCCAGGCCGCCCCTTCCTGGGGGGGGGGGGGGTGGCTCAAGGGGGCCAGTGCTGCCCCACTCACTTCATGTGCTTCTCGTGCGTGAGGAAGTTGACCAAGCCCTCCTCGTCCGGCTCCTTCCACTCCAGCGCCACCTGGCCCGGATCCGCCACCTCCGGCTGCAGGAAGAGCCTCCGTGTCTCCTGCAGGTGCCAGCCGTCTGGCAGAGGGTGGGTCTGCAAGGGGGGGGGGGAAGTGCTGGGCATCAGCAGCAGCAGCGTCCCTGCTTAATGGCCCCCGAGGGTGCGCCATCGAGGCCTCGCCGGCTGGGACAGATTCCTTGCAGGGCCTTTTGTAGCCTGGCCCCCACTTCAGGGGAAAGTCCTCGGCTTACAACCACTTGCTAAGTGACCCTTCCGAGTTGGGGTAATGAAAACCATCAGCCTCAGAGGGCACCAAGGGCCAACAGGAGGGGCTCACGATATTCTATTTTTTTCCTTTTTCTTTCTTTTTGTAAGCCGTCCAGAGTCCTGCGGGATTGGGCGGCCTATAAGTTCAATTAATAATAATAATAATAATTCTCCAAGGCACCAGAAGGCAAAAAACGATATGTGGAAACTCATCAAGGAAAGGAGCAAACTGGAATGAAGGGGAAACTTTCTGACAGTGAGGACAATTAACCGGTGGAACCGCTTGCCACCAGAGGTGGCGAGTGCTCCATCGTGGGGATTTTAAGGAGAGATTGGAAAGCCGCTTGTCTGAGTTGGTACAGGAGAGAACTCTTCACACTCGGCCACTTTAAGACCTGTGGACTTCCAACTCCACAACTCTTAAAGCGGCCAGGTTTGGGGCAGGGGCTGGTATAGGGTCTCCTGCTTGGGGAGGGGGCTATTCTATCCAGCTCTATTCTGATTCCGACCCCTCATTTCGACCCTCAAGCTACAAATATTCTCCTTGACTTTTTTTGCGCCCATCTGCAGAGTCACTGCAGAGGAGTTTGTGGGGGAATTCGGATGAGCACCTGGAGGGTCTTAGGAGAGGCATCTGCAGGAGGGAGGGGGTTGCAATGGAGAGACTGTAAAGCCAAGGAAGGAGAAACCTCACCCTCCACCTGCCCCCTTCTCCCCTTCCCCTTCTCCTAGTCCTCCCCCTTTCCCCCCTAATCCCATCAGAGCTTGGCATTCAGATGGAGATCAGCAACAGGGATCCAGAGATAATAAACCCACCTTTACCAGCCATTCAAAGGACTATAAAAACATGAAGGAGGAAGCAAAATAAAAAGGGGATTAGCACTGATGGTGTTACCTTGTTGGGCTATGAAAGGAAATTGCCAAACTCCCGAGATGCCCAGGCAAAGGGAATAAACCTACTTAAGAATATATGTTTTTTTTGGAGGGGAGAAGGGCACAATTGGAAGATATTGTATATCTTTTAGTTGTGACAGATGAAGAAATGTGGGGGGGGGGCAGAAGGTGCACTATAACA